CCCCGCTTCCTTTCCTAACCAAAGTATATTCGGTCCGTGCAACTTGACTCCCTTGTTTCCAATTCAAATGTTCCCTGTGTGGTCCTTTCGTTGTACTTGTCACAGCGGGTGGTTGGCGGGTGCTCTGGTGTGGTTTGCTTCTTCTTTCCTAGCAAACATCTATCGTCCTTATCTCCCCTTCTTCTTTTTTATGTTTGTTACTCTCATGTAACACCTCTAAATCTTCTGGCGCTCATATGACCTTATGCAGTTGCGAGCGCCGCAAAACCTCCACTAAAACAAAAACAAACTCTTACTTGAACTAAAAAAGACTCGATCAGAACTGATGTACTCGTGATGTACTCATGATGTACTCGTGATGTACTCGTGATGTACTCATGATGTACTCATGATGATGCGGGCTCCGCTCTACAGGAGACTGCTGTTGTCCTTTCCTTTGGCTATTTGTCTTGTCATCAGCGCTTGTGGGTTTCTGGTTGTTGTTGTTGTTGTTGTTGTTGTTGTTGTTGTTGTTGTTGTACCTCACCTGCCTATCTCCCCACGCCCCCGTTTCTTTCCCCCCCTTTTTTTGTCTATGATGATGATGATGATGATATTGATGATGATGAGGCTAGTGGTGCCAGATGTTTTAGGTGACTCATTCATCTGTTATGCGGGTTAGGTCTCGGTGGTTCTATAAACGGAAACTGTATCGTGTTGTGTGTTGTGTTGTGTGTTGTGTTGTGTTGTGTGTGTGTCAACAAGACCTTTGGTCTGACTTTTGATCTCCCCGGCTCTTTGTGATGATGGTAGCGGTGTTTTGGTGGTGGTGGTTGTGAGATGATATTGCTGTTGTTGTTGTTGTTAGTGGTGTTTGTGGGAGAAGAATCTGTATCAGCCTTGTGGACAGCTGTGACAGTGAGAGACGACACAGGTACATACATGCACACAAAAGGACGGGCTCACTTCGCAAAAATGTCTCTCTTGTGTTTTTATCTCTTTTTCTCTCACTCTATCTCTCTCTTGCTCTCTCTCCCTCTATCTCTCTCTTGCTCTATCTCTCTCTCTCTTCCCCCCTCTCTCTCTCTCTTCCCCCCTCTCTCTCTCTCCTCCTCCCCCC